GTGTAGTAGAGAGAGAGAGAGAGAGAGAGAGAGAGAGAGAGAGAGAGGGAGAAGAGACCGTGGATCTAAATTTGATGTGTCATTTGATTGTGCTAGGGAGGGGGGGCATTCATATGTTTTGTGCACTATTCTTGTGCATGTATGGGACTTAATGGTGGAATGAGGCGAATGAAGAGAGAGCAGAGAAAAGCTTCATATGCATTGATTTGTTTTTTCATTTGTTTTGCATTGTTGTATTGACTTTGTGTCTTTTTTTTATTCAATTGTTTTGAAATGTTGTACTGAAATGATGTTTTGTAATGCATAGTTTTGGCCCCATGTACGCCTGCAAGTTTATAAAATCTGCATGAAAGATATTCTATTGGAAACCTGCAAATCAAATGGATCATTTTGACCTCAAATTTGGAAAATAAAAATAAACAAATTAAACAAATAAGTAAAAAATAAACAAAAAATAAAACTCCAAAAATAAATTTTGTGATAACATGTTCTCTAGACCATCTATTTCAAGTATTCACAAGACCCAAGGAACTAATTCGTAGGCCATCACACTTCAAATTTGGGGTGGAAACAGATTTCTTGACTAAATAATATAAAGCCACAGTCTTACAACAGCCCCAAGAAAATAGTTATTTTAAAAATTAAGCACACCTACAAAAATAACTTGCCCTTATTGTAATTTTCTGGTGCCTTTCTTTACGTTTTTTTTTCTTTCTCATTAAGAAATGGCATAATTTTCATTTAAAAGAACTCCTTAAGGCGCCAATCTTAAAGGAATCGGGCTTGGACTTGGTTAACAATTGACATCAACCAACACTATATTTCAAGTTCGATTCCTAACCCCCCTCCCCAAAAATAAAAAATAAAAAATAAATAAAAGTAAGCACGCCTCCAACACCATTAGAAGATGCAGTTATGATACCATAGCCTCAAAATCTATTTCTAACTCTAATTATGATATTGAAAGCTCCATAAATGTATAGATCGGACAAATTTATAAATATTTAAAAATCTTAAAAATAGATAGTTCAAATAATGTGTTGTAAAGTATACTATTTTTTAAAACTTAAAATCTTTTTTTCTTCATATATATACACTTGTAATTTATCTCTTTATTTCATTACCAAACAAATAGAAAAATAACAGAGAGCACCGTGCCAAAGTGGTGGTGGATAGCACAAGGAGGAGTAAGTTCAAGTAAAAGAGAGAGAGTGAGAAATGAAAAAAAAAAAAGTAAGAAAGAGAATGCATCAACAATAAAGAGAGAGAGAGAGGGCATTGCAAGGCTTTCTCCATTTGTTACCTTACCTTAGAGCTAGGTTTTATAGCAATAACATTAACGCATGTATGTTTGTAGAGTAACAAGTATAATGGGGATTGTATATTATGAGACCATTTATTTTTGTTACAAGGAGATCATAATTGTTATCAGGTACTAGATACCGAATTGGATGGCTTGGGGTATATCACAAAAGTTAGAAAAATATTTTTTAAACTTTGAATCTATTCAATGACACTCTGACAACCACTTGATTTAAAATTTGATTTATAGACTTTTTCAATGTAATATAACTCAAGTACTAAAACAGCATAAGCAAGTACCAAAATTGGGATGAGAAACAAGCATGCTGCATTTGAAGGCCAATGTTTCTAGCTATCCCACTTTTCAACTACATAATTGAGTAATAATAAATCCATTATACCCAAACTTCCTCACTCTCTTCCTAAATCTACAGCTTTATCATCTCTTTTCTAAATCTATTCTCATCAAATAAGGAAAGTTTAAATTTTAATATACCTCATCTTTAATTATTGAATTAAAATTGTCATCAAATAAAAAAAAGTTTATACTTTAATATATCCAATCCATATTAATTGGATCAACCAATCTTGATTAAAAAATTTAATAAATATCTCAAATATTCAACCTAATCACTTGTAATAAATATATCAAATATTCGATCTTATCACATTGTATCTAAAAAGATAGCTACCAAGACTATAAACATTCTTCCCAAGAAGAATGTGTGAACAGGTGGGGCATCCCACCCTTTTGGTGGCCACTTGTGGGCCCCACTTAATCCACATGTTTTTAAATTTTATCCTTATATTTATAGAGATCCATATATTTTAAAAAGTATTTTATTTTATATTTAGAATTTTAAATCTTATAGTTTATTTAAAACATTAAAAAATTAAGTTTTTTTAATTTATAAATCCAAATGGCAAAAATAAAATATTAGAAGATTCACAAAAATTCAAATAAACATTCTAAAAATCTCATAACATAAAATTAATTAATTTTAATGAGAATTGAATAAATGGGAGCACTCCACCTTCAACTGGGATTCGCCTAACTTTATGAAATTGACTCAGCACTTCCCATGACCCACATTCCACTGCAGATGATCATGTTTGGACTACCAAAGTCAACCAATACACTACGCAACGCAATCTCAATTTGCGGATTTCAAGTTCTTCGACCACCAAAGTTAGCCAGGAGAAGCAATCCCAAATTATGGACTTCTGTTTCTCCCATAATCTTTGAGATTATAATGCAACAATGACTCTATGATGCATAGGAGGCACATATACATGCTTCAATTTCATTGGTGAATCTCAAAACAGCTATCTACATGTCGTGATGATACCACGATGAGATTTTAGCCATGTCTCTAAAGGCTATTTATCACACTCAAGAGCCACACGGTCCCTCGACTCTCATCCAAGCATACACCGACCTCATAAAGCGTTAACCCACTAAAACCCTTATCAATTAGATCCCTATGCTCCGTATCTTGAGTTATTCCAAACCTCGGCTAGCTTAGCTCATCGAGCCTAATCCAAGTATCATCAAATAACATTTGTCTAATACGTTCCGCAAAATGATCATATTCTCATTAAATTTATGCTTTATTTATTAAATACATTTTATACATTATCTCATAAGGGCTTTAAAGGTCACATAAACCCAACAATAAGCATAGGGAAATTATATAAGAAAATGGTGAGTTATTATAGTCATTTTGATGGGCATTCTAGAAGGAGAAAATCCTATTTTGGGTGAAATGACTATTTCACATGAAAATGTTTTCTAGAAAAAAAAAATTTCATGAAAAAATTCTCTCATGTGGTTAAGTGTGGAATGAATTTTACATCAACTAATTGCCAATTGGTGTGAAAATATGCATTAAGACAAATTGGTATAAAAAAATTCATAAACTTGACTGCATGATAGAATTTTTTCATGTGAAAAATGCTTTCTATAAAATATTTTCACAACCAAACGTGTAAAGAGAAAACAACACCAATTTAGCCCCAACTCCTCGGTGTTTGGGGTCGACTGTTTGTGTAGAGAGAGAAAATAAATATATCAATGTCCGAGAGACGGCGACATCCACAAGTATTGTGGCACCCTTCACGTACATAATACATGGAAATTGTATTCTCATCCATGCAATGGATAAAAAATTATTATAATTTCTTGCCCAATATTATTTTGTCTTTAGTTCTTAGAATATTTGTTAAAAGTCTAAAAGATTAACTAATTGATATTTTATTCATTGAATTGAAATTAAAAAAAATATAAATTTACATGAATACCCCCAAATACTGTTATTAAACCTTCCTTTTCAAAAATTTGTTTTTACATTCATACTCTCGTTTTTCAGTTTGTTATTTTGTTTTTTATGAATCCTCTATCGGACTTTCAAAGTATGAAGTTTACCCTTGCAAGAGAAACTTTGGATCCCTCAACCTTGAGGGTTTTCTCGATACATAGCTCGGATCTTAAAGAAGCAAAGTTGCTCTAAAGATGAACTGCGGACCTTCAAGGTCTAAAATTGTTTTAAAACTCAACTTCAAGCCTTCAACTTGGGACTTCCAAGATGTGAAATTTTACATCTTATATAATCATCAAAGGTGAAATTTGATAGCTTGAGTGTGTCACAAAGTTCAATAAAAGTTATTTCGAACGTTGAGCTTGGTCAATGGAATAAATGCAGTCACCCAATTTCACATTGAATGGTCAAGATTAATTGTGACCATCTTGCACCAAAGATGAATGGTCACATTATATGTTTTCATGTTATATATTTTTATATAATG